CCCGACCCAGCACCCCCATACCCATCACCTCCAGGCACAGCACCCCCCTGCTCAGCACCCCCAGGCTCCGCACTCTCCGCAGTAGCACCCGCAGGCCCAGTACCCCCAGCAGTAGCACCCCCAGGCTCAGCACCCCCGCGCACAGCACCCCCAGAGTCAGCACCCCCAGGCTCAGCACCCGCAGCAGCACCAGAGTCACCTGTAACCTCGACCGGGTCAACGGCGTCTACCTGGGACACACCTGAGGGGGCAGGAACCTGAGGGGGGGAGGGGGTCTACCGGGGGGGGAACCGGTACAAGGAAGTCCGGGGGAGGGGGGAGGGAAGGAGTGCGGTAGGGGAAGAGACGGTAGAAGGGGACTGACTCGTCGAACGTGAAGTCCTGGGAGGACAGAACACGACGAGAGGAGGGGTGGTAAAACTGCCACCCTGGGGCGTCAGTGGGGAAGCCAAGGAAGACACAGGGAGCAGCACGAGGGGACAGCTTGTCCGCAGACAAGTCGCGGACAAACGCCCGAGATCCCCAGACACGGAACACAGACGCATCGCCAACCTTCCCTGTCCACAGCAAGGCTGGGGACATCGCAGGCCGAGAGACCCGGGGGTGAAGGTTGAGCTGATGCGCCGCGTACCTCACCGCAAACGGCCACAGAAAATGGGGGGCAGCCGCATGCATCATGGACGTACGAGCGACATCCATGACCATGCCAATGCGGCGCTCAGCAATCCCATTTTGCTGTGGTGAGTCCGGAAGCGTGAAGGACTGGCGGATGCCTCGCGCACGACAGTAGGCACGCAGAAGGCCAGAGGAGAACTCTCCGCCTCTGTCCGAGTGCAGACGCAGAACAGGAAAGTCCGAGCCGAAGCTCTTCCTGAGCCGGAGACGAGCCTCGCGGATCCAGTCGATCAGCACCTCAGTGACCTCACCCTTGCTGCGCAAGGGGAGGACTATGGTGTAACGCGAGTAGTCGTCAACCACCAACAGGAAGTAGCGCTCGTAATCCTGCCCACGGACGGGGGCTGGGCCCCACACATCCATGTGAAGCGTCTGCAGGGGAGCCTCTGTCGGGGGGAAGTGGGAGGAGTGAGGAGTAGCCCGGAGGCGACCCTCGACACAGGGGACACAGGAAGGTCCTGGCCCAGAGGGGAGAGGAGGGAGAGACTGGGGAAGACCAGAGACAAGGACACGGGAAGCCATGCTCCGAAGACGGGGCAAGGAGGGGTGGCCAAGACGGTTGTGCCACAGGAGAGTCTCGTGAGACAGGAGGCGACAAGTACAGGGGGCAGACTCAGGACCAGACCTGGACGCAGCAGCAAACACCTGACCCGACGCTGCTACCTGACCGGACGCGGGGACAGGAGGAGACTCAGTGGTCAGGGTGTAGAGGCTCGACCCCGGCCGACGCGAGAACGTGGCCAGGTGCCGGCCTGTGCGTGCGTCCGTGCAGTGGGTCACCCGCTGACTCGCAGGAGTGAACTGGTGAACCCCCGCATCCTGTAGGTCTGCACCACTCACCAAGTTCGTCGAGAACGAGGGGAGGTACAGGCCAGACAGGGTGCCCGAGGGGGCAGCCGGACACGGGAGGACAGTGGAGAAGTGAGCGAGGACAGGACCCCCAGAGGGGTCAGCCAGGGAGACTGCAACCGGCCGACCAAGCGGCGTGAGTGTGGTGCGGTCCCGAAAGAAGGAGCGAGAAGCCCCAGAGTCAAGTGTAAAGGTAAGGGAGGCCGAAGCCAACGCGGTACCTGAGAGCGCAGCCTCACCCGCACCTGAGGAAGCAGACTCACTAGCACCTAGAGCAGCAGCCGCACCTGTACCTGGAGCAGGAGACTCACTAGCACCCAGAGCAGCAGCCTCACCAGTAGCTAGAGCAGCAGGTCCTATACCTGGGTCAGGCGGGACGCACAGGTGACCTGCACGGTCAGCACTAGTAGGCAATGCATACATGGCAGTGAGAATAGCATCATAGTCAAGAGCATATATATCTACCCTCTGCCTAAGCAACTCCACCCAGTCGGGAAGCTCAGCCTCGTCGCCAAACACGGTACGCCAGGCGTCGCTCAGACGGGCGAAGCAGCGGGACGGTGTATGACTACGTGTCCCACAAGGCTGACCAGTCCGAGTACCAGTGCGAATCACGTAAGAGCAGCGAACAGCACTGAGAGACCCTCCACTCTGAGCGTACCACTCACGAAGCTGGCGAGGCGTGAGAGACACGCGAGAGGGTCGCGGGAGCTGCATCTGGCCGCCACCACGAGTAGAAGCAGCAGAAGTGGTAGTAGGAGTAGCGTCGCCACCCCTACAGCCCCAACCAGCGTACCACTCACGCAGCTGCTGCGGCGTGAGGGACTCACGCCGGCGTCGCTGGGGCTGCATTTGGCTCCGCAAGTAGAAGCAGGAGCAGGACTAGCAGCAGGGAGGCAGGCAGCCAGGCAAGCCAAAAGACAGGCAGGCAGGCAAGCAGGCGACGCGCAGCGTGCTAGCAGGGCAAGAGCTCACCAGTGGTGGGAAGAGTAGGTTCGGCGACTCAGCGGCTCGGCAGCTCGGCGGCTCGGCGGCTCGGGCGACTCGGGCGGCGAGGCGGCAAGGCGGCTCAGCAGCATCTGCAGCTCAGTAGCTCGGTGACTCGGCGGCTCGGCGGCAGGGCGGCTCGGCAGCAACTGCAGCTCAGCAGCTCAGCGACCCGGCGGCTCGGCGGCAGGGCGGCTCGGCTGTGGGGCGGCTCGGCTGCTGCAGTGGGAGATGAAGGAGGAGGAGAAGCAGGGGAGGCCACACACCTGCCACCCCTCTGCTGCGGCCCCCGAAGGAGCCGCGACGGGCGACGGGAAAAGGGGAGGTGGGTGGTGGGGGGCCGGTAGGTGCAGCGGCGGGGCCAGCAGGTGCAGTTGCGGGGCCGGTAGAAGGGGACGGCAGGAGCCGTCAGGAGGGGACGGCGGGGCCGTCAGGAAGGGACGGCGGGGCCGTCACGAAGGGACGGCGGGGCCGTCAGGAGGTGACCGGGCCGCGACGGGGGCAGGCGGCGGGGCCGCGTAAGGGCCTGGGCGGGGCCGCGACAGAGCCGTCGGCGGGGCCGCGTGAAAGCCGGGGCGGGGCCGCGTAGAAGCCGGGGCGAGGCCGCGCGAGAGCAGGCGGCGGGGCCGCGAAGGAGCCGGGGCGGGGCCGCGTGAGAGCAGGCGGCGGAGCCGCGTAAGGGCCTGGGCGGGGCCGCGACAAAGCCGTCGGCGGGGCCGCGTGAAAGCCGGGGCGGGGCCGCGTAGAAGCCGGGGCGGGGCCGCGCGAGAGCAGGCGGCGGGGCCGCGAAGGAGCCGGGGCGGGGCCGCGTGAGAGCAGGCGGCGGAGCCGCGTAAGGGCCTGGGCGGGGCCGCGACAAAGCCGTCGGCGGGGCCGCGTGAAAGCCGGGGCGGGGCCGCGTAGAAGCCGGGGCGGGGCCGCGCGAGAGCAGGCGGCGGGGCCGCGACAGAGAGGGCGGCGGGGCCGCGTCAGTGAAGGCGGCGGGGCCGCAGGGGAAATGGCGACCCGAGGGGTCGCTAAAAAAAAAAAGGATCGCGCCTCGGGGGGCGCTTCGGTGGGCCAAAAAAACGGTCCGTAGAAGGACCCGCTCTGATACCATGTCAGAATCAGCGAACAGGAATGAATGAACTAGCAGTGAAATGAGTACAAGTAGGAAACCCTAGAAGTGTGTACCCCCTATAGGCTAACCCACTGTAGCCTACACAAGCATAACATATATAATGTTTGACACTAGCCTGTAGTGGGGTGCTCTATAGCGAGTACAACCCTTCTAGGGTTTGCTATTTGTATCCTCATTCTTGCTAGTTCAACCCTCTTTCCTCTTTCTTTCTTCAAACTTTGTCAAAAGGTTGATCAGGTCTATCATTTCATTAGAAGGTTCATTGGCGCGCCTGTCGGGAGCCCACTTGAACTGGAGATGATAGAGTTGATAATCTTTTTAGAGTTTACAGATTGTGTTGTTTCATGTGACTGCTGATTATTCAAGAATTATGCTATTAGCTCCCCCCCATGCTAGGCAGGGGATGCGATAGCATAGTTTTTGGGTCGTTAGCTTTCACGCATTTTTATCATTATTAGCATCATGGTTATGAAATTTTCACTAACAGGTAAGCATTATTCATAATAAACATAAAGCATGCATATATTTATCATCTATCATATCATATCTTTCATAACATGTTGCATTTAATATAACATTTATTTTTTCATATTATGTACATATTATACGGCAGTAAGTCACAACAAAGTAAATCACAGAAACAACCTAGTTGTCCAAAAAATCACTACCACTACACTAGTGGGCTCTGAACCAGACAGGACCTCGTAGATGTTGCATGGATAGCGAAAAGTACATCCATTTTTTTTTTCACATTTTTACATTTAAAAAAATACAAAATGTAAAAATGTGAAAAAAAAACTGACCAAATCGATCGTAATAGGTTGCTTCGCAACCCAAAAAATTCTGAAAACCTTCAGTTGCCTTAGTGAGGGCCTGGTGCCTTGCGATAACCTGATGATTCTTGTGCTCTCGTTTCCTCTATTGACCCGACGAGCTCTTGCAGATTGTGTTCGGCCTCACATATCAGCTGATCGCGGAGCACCTGTTGGCTTCACACGTGTTTAGTAGAAGCTAACGCGGTTACAGATGCTAGCACGTGAATCTTGAGCTAACCACTGGTCAGCTCGCGATGGCGACCAGAGGCGATCGCGCCGGAAGCAGCAGGCTGCTATCGCTCCCCGACGAGCTCCTCCAAATCATTCTCGGCCTCGCCGATCACCCATCCGATCGCCGCAACGTCGCGCTCTCCTGCTCCCGCCTCCACCGCCTCTCGCGGCGCACGCCGCACTCACTCCAGTTCGACTTCTACTCTCAACGAAGGGTCACGAATCTTCGACAATGGCTGAAAGCGTTTGACGATTATTCAAGGGTTTTTACCCTCATAACGGATCTCACCGTTGAGATTCCTTCTGGGCTCGGGAATCAGCTCATGGCGGGGATAGCAACGGGCTGCCCGAAACTGGAAAGACTGAAATGGGTGACGGGATGGGATAGCTTCAACGTTAACGGTCGAGCTTGGCGCGCACTCGTGACGCACTGCCCGTAAGTAGACGTTTACGTTTCTCTCCTTCCCTGAACGTACTTTGCCCACATCATTCATCCACATTCACCCGTCCATGCATCCGTGCGTGCATGCACCTGTGCATCCATCTATCTATCTCTATGCATCCATCCATGCATGCATCCATCCATTCATCCATCCCGTGCTTGAAATGGACTTACTAGCATAACTTCACGGCATCCGATTTTCTCCCTCTACACCTCATCCTCTAAAACGTTTCCTCTTCGACTCTCCTCTTGTGATGAGTCGATTTTTGAGTCGACTAAAAAATCGAGTCGACTCAAAAATCGTTTTTCTCCCTCTACACCTCATCCTCTAGGACGTTTCCTCTTCGACTCTCCCTTAGTAAACCTCCCGCTTGACCCCCTTGCCGTTTCCCCTTCCTTCAGGCTACTAACCTCTCTGGAGCTCAACTCGCGGTATGCGCGCTCGCGTCTCTCCTACACACGGCAGCCGCCACTCCCTCTCGTGCACCTCCTCCCCTCACTGCAATCCCTCTCTATCCTCTACGTTCCCGCGGACTTACTCCCCATTACCCGCTGCTCCTCCCTCACCTCTCTCACCCTCTGGGACTCCGAAGTCTCCACTCTCTCCTCCCTTGCCTTCTCCTCCTCTTCCTCTTCCTCCTCCTCGTCCTCTGCTGCGTCCTCCCCTCCATCCCCTCTCCGCACAACTCTCACATCTCTCTCCATCCACTTTGCCAATCTTGAGGGCTCCGTCTCTTCCCTCTCCCTCTTCCCCTCTCTCGCCTCCCTCTCCCTCCACTCCTGCACCATCAACCCATACAAACTCCGCTCTCTCGCACGATCTCTCCACTCCCTCACCCACCTTTTAATCCACTCCTGCCCACTCGCCTCCTCCCACTCCCTCATCCCCATCCTCCAAGCCAACCCTGCTCTCTCCTCCCTCTCCCTCCACGGCACCACCTACCGTCTGTTTGCCGCACAGGGCTTCCGCAATCTCCTCGCTCACTCCTCCTCCCAGCTCCACTCCCTCCACCTCGCCGGCCTCCCATCCATCCGCCCGGGCTTGCTTGCAGCCTGCAGCGTCCTGCGGTCGCTGAGTCTGGAAGGGGTGGTTGATTCTTCTGACTCCCGGTTGCCACACATTGTATCATTGGACGGCATTGTGGGTATGCTCGTGCGCGTGGAACGGGCATTCCCGAGGGGGAGCGACAAGCACTGGGGGAGGTGCGTGGATATTCTTAGAGAGGCAGAGGCACCAATGGAAGATAAGCTAGCAGCAGCAAGAGATGTGGTCCGTCTCATTCAAATAGCCAATGAAGCCTCCGAAACCGCCCGTTCCGAAGCTCTCTCGGCGGCTCGTGTGGAGGGCGTGAGCGCCGTGCCTCGGATCGTTGCCAGCCTCGGGAAGATCAGGTACGGGATTTCAGCGTGCCGGTCCTTCTGTGCCGGGGTACGTGAGGCCAATGCGGCGATCGAGTGGGAGCAGGCGCTTGCTGCTGCTGTTGCTGCTGCTGCTAGTGCTGCTGCTGCTGCTGCTGCTGCTGCTGCTGCTGCTGCTGCTGCTGCTGCTGCTGGTGCTGGTGCCTCTAATATGGCTATCGCGGATCATATACCTGCTGCTGCTGCTGCTGCTATCCATGCAGCAGGGCCCTTTACTACGGAGCTGAATCCTGAAGATGAGGAGGACAGGGATGGGGAAGAGACAGAAGCAGGAGATGGAAGCAGGGGCATGGATGACATGCTGGGTGGGGTGCGGTCTGATGCGGTGGAGACACATGCAGAGGGGTTGGATAGGCTGCATTCGCTGATGGATGAGCTGGGGGAGCAAACTGATGCAATGTCTGCTAGCTTTGATTCCATGCGCCCACTCAGCCCCACCGTGGCTCGGCCAGTGGTGGATGCGGCAGCAGATGGAGGTGGGGCAGCAGATGGAGGTGGGGCAGCAGATGGAGGTGGGGCAGGTGGGGATGTTGCAGCAGGGGGTGGGGCAGCAGGAGGTGGAGCAGCAACTTCAGGAGGAGGAGATGGAGCAGCAGCAGCTCATGGGGGGGCGGCAGTGCAAGGAGTGAGAGCAGGAGCGGCAGAAGCATTGCAGCATGTGGAAAGCACACTAGAAGGCGGAGGGCTAGGAGAGGGGGCAGCAGGAGAGGCGGCATCTGGGGATGCAAAACCAAGCAGCGGAAAGTCAAGCTTCAAGCATTTTGAAGGGAGCCAAGCAGCACTAGCAGTCCCCGTGCACGTGTTGTGCCCTCCTCTGGAGTTCCTCACCCTTCAATCCCTCCGCTTCGCCTCCATTCCCCATGCCCACTGCCTGCCTCCCTCCCTTTCTCCTCCTCACATGTACCTCTCGTCATCCCCCTCTCCACCATCCTCTTCATGTCACTCATCCTCCTCTTCCCACTCCTCCGCTTCCCGCTCCTTCTCTGCCCCGTGCCCAAGCTATTCCTCAATGTCCTTTGAGTCCCTTGCCCGAGATGCAGCCTTCAGGCACCTCAAGCATCTAGCTTTGGTGTGCTGCATAGGGTTGAAGGAGCAGGACTGGCTGGAACTACTCGGGGCGTGCTCCAAGTTGGAAGAGCTAAGGGTGTTGCAAAATAGCAAGATTTCAGATGCAGTGGTGGCGGGAAGCAGGTTGGGAACGCTCGCTAGTTTGACTCTGGTGGAGTGCGAAAAGATTACAGCAACCGGCATTGGAGGGGTTCTTGGAAGCTTCCCTAGGTTATGGTACTTGAAGGTTGAAGTGGGGAAGGTAACGGAAAGGGCTCGAAGGGAGCTGCTTCGTGCTGAAGTGGTTGTGAGGGGGGTGTGACATTGATGACAGATACGGTAGGTGCATACATACCGATGTCAGGCTGCTCTTTGGCACAATATCGCCATTCAATTTTTGTCCTGTAAATAAATGTAAATATTGTCTACTTCTAGGTGTTGTTGCAGGGTTGAGAGTGCTGCAACTATACAGAAGCTCCAGGTGCATATGTGTTACAGGACACTTTGTTTCAGCCTTGATTGGCCGGCTTTGTTCGGTTTGGGCCGGAGACGAACCAGCTCCCACCAATCAGCGCGTGTCCCAATGGCCTCCTCCAGAAATGAAACAGTCGTTGGGGAGCTGGTCCCAATGGCATCCCAAATGCTCGTGTCATTGGGATGCTCTGTGCATGTACTCACGTCACGCGCATTTGGGATGCTGTTTGCATGTACTCACGTCACACCTCACAGATCCATCCTGAGAGTCTGGCCCTTGCGAGAACCTGATTCTTGAGCTGCTCTGGTTTCCTCTCTCGACCCGACGAGCTGATCGCGGAGCTCGGGATCACACGTCTCACGGAGTTCATGTTATTTTTGAAAGTACACGTGTTTACAGATGCTAGCACGTGAATTTGGAGCTACCAAGCAACTAATCAGCTCGCGATGGCGAAAAGGGGCGATCGCGCCGGCAACAGCAGGCTGCTATCGCTCCCCGACGAGCTCCTCCAAATCATTCTCGGCCTCGCCGATCACCCATCCGATCGCCGTAACGTTGCTCTCTCCTGCTCCCGCCTCCACCGCCTCTCTCGTCGCACGTCGCACGCGCTCCGCTTCGACTTCTATTATTGGCGAAAGGTTACGAATCTCCGACAATGGCTAAAAGCGCTTGACGATTATACAAGGGTATTTACCCACATAACGGATCTGACCGTGGAGATTCCATCTGGTTTCGGGAATCAGCTGATGCTGGGGATAGCAGCGGGCTGCCCGAAACTGGAAAAACTGAAATGGGTGACGGGTTGGGATAGCCTCAACGTCAACGGTCGAGCGTGGCGCGTACTCGCGCAGCAATGCCCGTGAGTGGACGTTTCCGTTGATAGTCCATAAAATTACAGACATACAGGTCTTCCTCCTCGATTTTTTTTTCGCCCAATTCATCCACCCATGCATGCATCCTGGCATGCGTGGATGCATGTATCCATGTATCCATTGAATCCTCTCACCCCTCCTTCAACCCTCCCTATGCACGCCTCACTCCCTCTTCACCCCTCGACCGTCGCCCCTTCCCCCGTGGTTCAGGCTCTTGATCTTCCTCGGGCTCAACGCATGCCATCGTCCTTTTCCCCTTCCTTCAGGCTCCTAACCTCTCTGGAGCTCAACTCACGCTATGCGCGCGCGCGTCTCTCCTACGCACGGCAGCCGCCGCTCCCTCCCGTGCACCTCCTCCCCTCACTGCAGTCCCTCTCTCTCCTCTACGTTCCATCCGACTACCTCTCCATCCCCCGCTGCTCCTCCCTCACCTCTCTAACCCTCTGGGCACCTGAATCCTCCACTCTCTCCTCCCTTGCCTTCTCCTCCTCCTCCTCCGTTGCGTCCTCCCCCCCATCCACTCTCCGCACATCTCTCAGATCTCTCACAATTTACTCTGCCGAACTTGAGACCTCCCTTGCATCCCTCTCCCTCTTCCCCTCTCTCTCCTCCCTCTTCCTCCACTCCTGCACCATCGACCCATACAAGCTCCGCTCCCTCTCACGCTCCCTCCACTCTCTCACCCACCTCACCATCTACTCCTGCCCACTCGTCTCCTCCCACTCCCTCGCCCCCATCCTCCAAGCCAACCCCACTCTCTCCTCCCTCTCCCTCCACGGAACAAATTACTGCCTGTTTGCCGCACAGCGCTTCCGTTCTCTCCTCTCGCACTCCTCCACCCAGCTCCACTCCCTCCACCTCTCTGGCCTCCCATCCTTCCACCCAGGCTTGCTTGCAGCCTGCAGCGCCCTGCGGTCGCTCAGTCTGGAAGGGGTGGGTATTTCTTCGGACTCTCGGTTGCCGCGCACTGTAACATTGGACGGCCTTGTGGGTATGCTTGTGCGCGTGGAACGGAGAGGAGGGGCAGGAGGAAAGGCAAGAGGTGGCGCAGGAGCAGAGGCAGGAGGGAAGGCAGGAGGGAGGGCAGGAGGGAAGGCAAAAGAGGATGGTGTGGCAGACGTATCAGAGAGAGCTGAGCCTGGTGCTCCTGCAGTAGCTGCAGAAGCACAGGTATCCTCAAGAGGGGGCGACAAGCAGTGGGGGAGGTACGTGGATATTCGCAGAGAGGCAGTGGCAGCGCAGGAAGATAAGCTTGTAGCGGTGAAGAACATTATCCCCCTCATGCGCGCAGCCCATCAAGCTACCAGAACCGCCCATTCCGATGCACTTTCAGCAGCGCGTGTGGAGGGTGTAAACGCCGTGCCTCGCATCGTTGCCAGCTTCGGGAAGATCAGGTTCGGGGTTTCGGCGTGCCGGACCTTCTGCGCTGGGGTACGTGAGGCCAATGTGGCGATCAAGTGGGAGGAGGCGTTGATGCGGGCGTTTGCTGTTGCTGGTGCTTCTGGTGGTGGTGGTGGTGCTGCTGCTGCTGCTTTTGCTGCTCGTCGTCATGCTGCAGGCTTCTTTACTACGGAGCTGAATCTTGAAGAAGAGGAGGACGGGGATGGGGAGGAGACAGAAGCAGGAGATGGAAGCAGGGGCATGGATGGCATGTTGAGTCATGATGGCCTGTCTGAGGGTGTGCTGGGTGGGGTGCGGTCTGGTGCGGTGGAGACACGTGCAGAGGGGGTGGAGAGGCTGCATGCGTTGATTGACGAGCTGGGGGAGCACACTAATGCCATGTCTGCTAGCTTCAATTCCATGCGTCCACTCACCCCCACCCTGCCTTGGCCATTGATTGATGCGGCATCAGCAGGAGGTGGGGCAGCAGGAGGTGGGGCAGCAATACCAGGAGGAGGAGAAGGGGGAGCAACAGCGCATGGGGTGGCAGCAGTGCGTGAGGGAAGAGCAGCAGTGCATGGAGCGAGAGGAGGGGCAGCAGAAGCATCGCCGCGAGTGGAAAGCACACCAGAAGACAGTGAGCTGGGAGAGGCGGCTGCAGGAGAAGCAGCAGCAGGGGAAGCAGCAGCAGGGAATGCGGCAGCAGGGGAGACAGCACCAGGGGACGCAAAACCAAGCAGTGGAAAGTCAAGCTTCAGGCATTCTGAAGGGAGCAAAGCAGCAGCAGCAGTCCCCGTGCAAGTGTACTGCCCTCCTCTGGAGTCTCTGACCCTCCGATCCCTCCGCTTCGCCTCCCCGCCCCATGTCCCCTGGCTGCCTCCCTCCCTTTCTTCCGAGTCTCCCCGCATGTACCTCTCCTCCTCCCCCGCCTCACCACCGTCCTCTTCATGTCACTCATCCTCCTCCTCTTCCCGCTCCTCCTCTGCCTCGTGCCCAAGCGGTCACCCAATGTCCTTTGAGTCTCTTGCCCGAGCTGCAGCCTTCAGGCACCTCAAGCACCTCGCCTTGGAGTGCTGCGTAGGGTTGAGGGAGCAGGAGTGGCTGGTACTCTTCGCAGCGTGCTCCAAGTTGGAGGAGCTAAGGGTGTTGGAAAGTAGCGAAATTTCAGACGCAGTGGTCGCGGGAAGCAGACTGGGAACGCTCGCTAGTTTGACTCTGGTGATGTGTGATAAAATTACAGCAACTGGCATTGGAGGGGTTCTTGGAAGCTTCCCTAGGTTGTGGTACTTGAAGGTGGAAGTGGAGAAGATCTCAGAAAGGGCTCGGAGGGAGCTTCTTCGTGCTGGAGTGGTTGTGAGGGGGGTGTGACATTGGTGACAGATATGGTAGGTGCATACGTACCGATGTCAAGGCTGCTCTTTGGCACAAAACCGCCATTCACTTTTATCCTGTAAATAAATGTAAATAACCCCCTGGCACGTTTGTGCGTTACGGTACGCTTCGTTGCGGCCTTCGTGTAGGCCCTTTATCCCAGCCCTTCAAAGAGAGCCTTTTAGATACCATTTAGTGTGAAAGAACTTAGTGATTCCTGGGCTTGGGCTCTTGAACAAAACTCGATGAAAAACGACACCCTTCGGGCGTACGCGTTAGGGGATTTTTCTGGGAAACCCTGCCCCCTATCCAGCAGCTCTCCCCCCCCCACCCCCCCTTTCCCCTGCATTCAGTTTTCAGTCATCTCCCTTAGTAAGCCAAAACGCGAACCTCGGAACTGAACTCTCGAGAACTTCGTCCCAGAGCCCAAAGCGGAGAGCCTCGAGAGCTCCCCTCCCCTCTCCACACATGCAGCCACTAACGTTGTCCGTGTGCGAGTGGAGGGGGAGTGCGAGTTCGTCAGGCAGGGCCATTCTACCGCACGGGAGCCGATGGTCCACGTGGAGTCAGTGATCTGTTGGTCCGCTCTGCTTTCAAATGTCATGGCTGCCGTGCAGATTCGCTTGCGCTCGTTCAGGAGGCCCAGATCGGTTGGGTACGGTTTCTATTTCCTGCTCCCAGCGACGGAGAGTGAATCAACATCATCATGTCCTACCAGCCAGTGCAACTCCGAACACTTCGAGTCCAGACGACGATTCCTGCTGAGCTTGGGAAATCGTCCTCCTTAGGTCAGTTCTTGACAGAAATTGTCGTCGTTCGATCCATCCCTTGTCTCAGTCGTAATCTTCACCCAGCTCCTCGCCTGTGCTCGAGCTAGCACGGGTACGTGACCGCGCTTTTCTTTTGAAACGCGTTCAACGCTTGGAGAAGCCTGTCCCGTTAGCGGCTTCGTAGCGGTCATTCCGGAACGGCATTGCAGCTTCAGCCGCATATTCGCTAACCCATTGTTTGTGCTTCGATTTCGGACGGGGCCAGGCCCAGGACGGACGGCTTCGCGCAAGGCTCGGACTGCCCGATCTGCTGGGTATGAACACCTATTTTTTAACAAACGTCTGATCTCAGCAAAATCTGGTCAGGCGTCTTCCCGTCGATTTTTCATTCTAGCCGATCCTTTGCGTCGGCTTCCTCTTGCTTCTGCTCCTCATTCTGGCTCTTTTCTCACTCGTTGTCTTATCCAGCTGTGTCTTCTGGAGGCTTCCAGACTCGCTATTTCGCAGTCAGCTCGAGATGGCGGAAGACAGAGAAGGCGCCGACAATAGCTGGCTGTTATCTCTTCCCGACGATCTCCTCAAGATCATTCTCGGCCTCGCGGATCACCCATCCGATCGCTGCAGCGTCGCTCTCTCCTGCGCCCGCCTCCGCCGCCTATCGCGGCGTACGCCGCATGCGCTCCGACTCGAGGTCGACTCCAGATCAAGGGCTGCGAATCCGGGAGAATGGTTGAAAATGTTTGAAGATTATTCAGGGGTATTTACCCACGTGACGGATCTGACCGTGGAGGTCACCAGTGTTCTCGGGGACCAGCTGATTGCGGGGATTGCAACGGGCTGCCCGAAACTGGAAAAACTGAAGCTGGAGGTGTCGGCTTGGGACAGCTTCAACGTCAGCGGTCCAGCGTGGGAGAATCTCGCGAAGCAATGCCCGTGAGTTAAGGGTTTCCTGCATCTTCTCTCTCGCAAATCCTTTTGCCCAATCCATGCATCGTCACCATCCGTTCCTCCGTCCGTCACTCCGTCTGTCCGTCCATCAGTCCGTCCGTCCGTCCCTTCCTCCCTCCGTCTCTCCCTCCGTCCGTCCCTCTTTCCCTCCCTCCCTCCGTCCGTCACTCCGTCCATCCGTCCGTCCGTCCCTCAGTTCACTAATAATAACTATCTGCTCGACGAGCCTTTGCACTTCGTGAACGGAGCACCGACTGCGAAGTTATGCGCGTTCTTGTGTCCTTGTCCCCCCCATATCCACCCACCCACCCTCCTCTTCCCCTCTCCCCCCCTCTCCCCCCTCTCCCCGCACCCTCCTTCACCTTACGCCCCCTTCCCCCTCCGCACCCTCTTCCGCCCCTCCCATCCGTTTCTATCTTGCATGTTTTGGCGGTCCCTCCTCACAGACCTCAACCACATACCTTTTGCAGCCACCTTTCCTCCCTCTTCACCCCTTCCGCTTAGCCCCGCTCCCCTCCCCACTCGCCTCTTCCCTCATACAGGCTAGTCTCGTTGATGTAGCTGGTCTTGCGCTACGGGCGTTCGTCCTTCCTGCAGTAGCTCTTTCTCCCTTCCTCCACTACCTCATCTCGCTGCAATCTCTCTCCCCTCTTCCTCCCTCCCCTCCCTTCCCTCTGCATGCAGGCTCTTGGCTTCATTGGAGCTAAAATTATTTTCTGCGCACTCGAGTCTCTCCCACACACAGCAGCCGCCACCCCCCCCCGTGCACCTATTCCCCTCACTGCAGTCCCTCTCTCTCCTCTACGTTCCCTCGGACTTACTCCCTATTACCCGCTGCTCCTCCCTCAGCTCCCTCACCCTCGAGAGTCCTGAATTCTCCACTCTCTTCTCCCTTGCCTTCTCCTCCTCCTCATCCTCCTCCCACCTTGCATCGTCCCCCCCATCCCCTCTCCGGACATCTCTAACATTCCTCACGATCCATTGCGCCAAACTGCAGGGCTCCCTCGCATCCCTCGCCTTCTTCCCCTCCCTCGCCTCCCTCTCCCTCCACACCTGCACCATCGACCCTTCTGAACTTTCCTTCCTCTCACGCTCCCTCCACAAGCTCACCCACATCACAATCCACTCCTGCCCGCTCGTCTCCTCCCGCTCCCTCATCCCCATCCTCCAAGCCAACCCCGCTCTCTCCTCCCTCTCCCTCCACGGGACAACCTACCGTCTCTTCGGAGCACAGGGCTTCCGCTCTCTCCTCTCGCACTCCTCCTCCCAGCTCCGCTCCCTCCACCTTGCTGGCCTCCCATCCTTCCGTCCGGGCTTGCTTGCAGCCTGCAATGCCTTGCGGTCGCTCAGCCTGGAGGATATTGCTGAATCCTCTGACTCCATTGTGCCGCACTCTTTATCATTGGACGGCATTGCGGCAATGCTCGTGCGGGTGGAGCAAATAGGAGGAGGGGCAGGAGGGGAAGCAGGAGGGGAGGCAGGAGGGGACGGAGGAGTGGAAGAGTGGGAGAGAGGACGAACTAGAGCTTCTGCAGCAGCTGCTGAGGCGCTGGTATCACCGAGGGGAAGCAAAAAGCACTTGGGAAAGTACTTGGACGTTTGCACAGAGGCAGAGGCAGCACGTGCTGACAAGTCCGCAGCAATGAGAGAGGTAGCTAATTTTTTCAGCATTGCTAAGCAAGCCTGTAATGCCGCTTTTTCCGAGGCTGCTGAGTTGGCGCGAGCAGAGGGCGACAGTGCTGTGGCTCGGATTGCCGCCCGCCTCGTGAATATGAGGTTTGGGATCTCAGCGTGCCAATCCTTCTCCGCGGCAATCCGCGAGTGCAGAGCAGCCGTGGAGTGGGAGGAAAAGCTGATGCGCTCATTTGACGCTGCTGGCCGGGCGGCAGGGTTCTTTGCCCCGGAGATGGATGTTGGAGAAGAGGAGGGGGATGGGGATGGGGACGAGGAAGAAGGAGATGAATCTATGGATGTCATGTTGCATGATGAAGCCTTGCTCGAGAGTGAGTTGGGTGGAGTGCGGATTGGTGCAGTGGAGGCACGTTCAGAGGCCCTGAACAGGCTGAAGTCATCAATAGGGAAGTTCAAGGAAGCCTCGCTTGCCATGTGTGCCGACATACAGGGCATTCGCCATCTCATTTTTTATACCAGCTCTGCTCCTGTAGCATTGGGGGCCGATTCGTCAGCAGCAGCAGCAACAACAGATGGAAGATCAGGAGGGGCGGCAGAAGCATCGCAGAGGGCGGAAAGTACACTAGAAGATGGAGGGCCATCGGGGGCGGCAGTAGGGGAGGCGGCAGCAGGGGAGGCGGCAGTAGGGGAGGCGGCAGCAGGGGAGGCAGCAGTAGGGGAGGCGGCAGCAGGGGAGGCGGCAGTAGGGGAGGCGGCAGCTGGGGAAGTGGCACTGGGGGGTGGGAAACCAAGCCGCAGCAAGTCAGGAGGCAAGCATATTAAGGGATGCCAGTCAGCAATCCACGTGCAAGTGTTGTGCCCTCCACTGGAATGCTTGATCTTGCGATCGCTCGTCTTATCCTCGACTTTTCGTGTTCCTTGGCTGCCTAGTACCATCCCCCGCACATCTCCTTGCATGTACCTCGTCCCACCCCCTCCATCATCCCCTTCCTATTCTTGCCACTCTTCCTCCTCCTGCTCTTCCTTCTCTTCCTCCTCTGCCTCAACCTCAAACACTCAGCCAATGTCCTTTCATTCCATTGCTAGAGTGGCGGTTTTTGGACAGCTCAAGCGCCTTGCACTGTTAAACTGCTTAGGGTTGGGGGAGGAGCAGTGGATTGAACTGCTTGCCGTTTGTGGTAAGTTGAAGGAGCTTAGGGTGGAACAAAGTGACACATTTTCAGATGCAGTGGTGGCGGGAAGCAGACTGGGAACACTCGCTAGTTTGACAGTGGTCATGTGTGAGAAGATTACAGCAGCAGGCATTGGAGGGGTTCTTGGAAGCTTCCCTAAATTGCGGTACTTGAAGGTGGAAGCGGGGAAGGTATCAGAAAGGGCTCGGAGCGAGTTGCTTCGTGCTGGTGTGGTGGTGAGGGGAGTGTGACATACGTGACACATGGTAGGCGCTCTCTGTCAAGGCTGCTTTTGGGCACAAGAATTTCATGCATTTTGTACATTGTAAATATATGTATACAATTTTTTGTACAAGGTGAAATCATGGTCAGAGTCGAAGGTGTAGACCAATTTCCAAAGCTCTTGAGTAGCAAGTGCTCTTCCTTCACCCTAACCACGAGTTTTAGCGTCAATTGACCGCTTCTAAACGCTCTAGAGCGCACAAGAACTCACTGCGCGCAATCTAACCATGTTCTGGGGTATGTTAATCAAGCGTCTCGGGAAGTGAGAACCAAGTTCTTGGGACCGTTGGACAGCACCCCCTCTCTGTCCACGCATCAACCCCCACCACCCAGCCAAACCGATTACGATAAGCTTTCGCTGATCCTCTTGCGTGTTGGGCGAGTATGCAGGGAGGGACTAGGGAGTGTGAGCGAGTACGGTAGAAAGCAGGGAGGGAGTAGGGTGTGTGTGAGTCACGCTACCCAGGAGGGTGAGTCACGCGGGCCCACCGTTTCATCATAACCATACTGATGGTTGACGTGGCATCAGTCATCTGTCCTCGCTCTCGGCTCGGCTCACTCCGTCATGGCTGTCGTGCATTCCCTTCCCCCCTTCGCCTCGCCCTAAGAGGTCCGATCAAGACGGTTCGCGTCCCGAAAGGCCGGAATTGATTTAAACCGTTCTCGACCTCTTCGCCGAACCTATTCCAGGATCCCAAGATTGATCCAAGGGTTCTGGTGACGTCTTGGCGCAACCCCAGAGAATTATAGATAACACAACCGGAATTTCCTAGTAGCAGACAGGCCAGCCAGTCGGACGGGGAAAAAATACAGACAGGAAGAGTCTTGTCAATTTGAGAATCCGTTGTTCCTCCCTCTTGTTAATTCCAAGGACGATGTCGCTTGGAGGAGGTTTCATCTTTTGATATTCACCCTCCTTACGAGACGCTACCCCTATTAGACTCGAGAATTTTCGATTTGATTTGATTCGATAAGTCACGCCGCGGGGAGAAGGCGTTTCCGCTTGTAACGGCCTCGTAGCGGCCAATCACGGACTCATCCGTGTCGTGCCGCGCGATGGCGGTACCTCGAGTTTCCCCCGAGAGCAGGCCCAGGACGGACGGCTTCGCGCAAGGCTCGGACTGCCCGATCTGCTGGGTATGCTCTCCCGTTCTCCCACCACGCGTCTGTTTCTAGAAGGATCTGGCCTGGCCGTTTTCCTCTCTCCGCCCTGCTGATCTCACTGTTCTTGGCCAAACGGTTCAGCAACACATCGTGTTTCCGTACGATTTGGATTATTCTCCTCGATCTTCACCTGTCGTCAGCTTCCTTCTAACAGCCTTGAATCTGGCTTGAAAGGGTAGGTAACTTGTGTTTCACCCATACGTCCTACTAACGCCGCCAATTACGTAACTCTCTGCTGCCATTCCTCGTCCCACTTTCAGGAGGCCTACGATTCCAGTATAAGAGCCCCGCACGTGCTGCTGTGCGGCCACACCTTCTGCAAGCACTGCGTGCTCATCCTCCCTATAGCCGTCTTCAATAAGCTGCCATCGCTGCAGATCCAGCTGCCATGGCTCGTAGACTGCCCGCTCTGCCACTGGGTGACTCCCAGACTGGTCGTTGAAGGAAATCTGCAGTACCCTTTCAAGAACTTCTCCCTGGTGAGTCTCCACTGAACTTTTCCCTGGTAGGACTTCTTTGAACTTTCCCTGGTAAGTTCCGCTGAGGATCCAGCTGCTATGGCTCGTGACTGCCCGCTCTGCCACTGGGTGACTCCCAGGCTCGTCGTTGAGGGGAGTCTGCAGTACCTCTTCAAGAACTTTTCCCTGCTAAAATTCTCACGCCAGTTTTACCGCACGTTTCAGATCCATCTGCTTTTTATTTCAGGTAAAAGCTGGTAAATTTTGCTTATATTCATTACCTTTCCTTCCTCTCTTTCTGGTTGCGGTTCCCCGCCCTGTACCTCCCGTTTCTTGCATCCAGCTGTGGCTTCTAGAGGCTTCCAGGCTCGCTCTCCCTCGAGGCGTCAACTCACCCACCACCGCCATTGCTAGCATCAGCGCCAGCACAAGGCACTCCCCTGTGCGGACTACCCTCACCCACCTCCCAGACGGCCTAGAATCCCCGGATCCCTCGCCTCACGACGAGCGCTGCAGCAGTGCCTCTGGTGCTCACATCGGCAGCAGCAGCCACGGCGGTGCCGGCGGCAGCAGCAGGAGGAGAAGAAGCAGTGGGGATTACAGCAGCAGTGCCAACAACAACAGCAACAGCAGCAGCAGCAGCAGCAGCAACAGCAACACGAATGCGTTTTTTGAAGCCCAAACTCTGGGAGCCCAAGCTCTAGGCGCACAGGTACTGGGAGGGCAGGCGTTGGGGTCTCAATCCTCTGGGGGCCAGACCCTCTGGTGGGTGCTCCCCCGTGTGTTGTTAGAGCAATGGCGCCCAGGCGGATCACCCGCAGCCGCAGCTGGTGCTGCTGCCGCTGCCGCCGCTGCTGTGGCCGTGCAGGCGTTGCAGCAGCATCAGCAGGGGCACGAGCAAGGGGAGCAGGAGTGGGTGGAAGGGGGACATATCCCCCATCATTACCTGTATCGCTTGCAGCAGCAGCAGCAGCAGGAACATCAGCAGTGGCAGTGGCAGGGACAAGGGCAGGCGCAGGGGCAGAGGCCAGGAGCAGGGTTTCACCACCTGCTGTATTCCAGCCGGCACCAGCTGGCACTCTGGCTTCTGCAGCGGGCGATCCAATGGTTCCCGTTCATTCGCACGGGGATCAACGGTGCAGCTTTCTACTTGGGCCGGCTGCGCCAGCTGTGCACGCAGTTACCGTTTCTGGGGGTGCTGGCGGTGGTGAGCTTTGTGATTGTGCCCTGGTGCTCGCTCGCCCTGCTCTGCTACCTGGCGGTGTTTCTGTTTGTGGCCGTGCCTGCTGCCGTGTGCCTTGTGCTCTCCATCTACTGGTCGGAAACACTTTTGAGGAGACTGACAGGCATGCCGTGACAGTTGGGGGGGGGGGGGCGATTGTGTACAGTGCAGTTGTTGAATACAGTAGCGTAGCGTAATCCATGTTGTGGAAACAAAATAATGGTGCATGGCCGCCACTGATAGTGCTGTCAAATGCATCCTGTATTTGCTTTGTTATCATGATGCTTACCAGTAAATGAAAGAGAAACAAAACAATTGGGAATAATAAACAGATAGTTCCAACACTACACCACACGGCAGGAGTGGATTGTTGGGAACAACCTAGTCATTTCTGTTTTGGGTACAGAATGTCATAGTGCCCTGGTCGATACAGCAGCGTCATTGCAGGGGTTGCCCGTACACTCTCCTCGGGTAGAAATTCGTGAAAATTTGCCTGCCCGGCGCTGCGGTCCAGGTAAACGATCCGGATGGGTACGGCGAGGGCATCTGTGATGGCTGTGATGTGCACGTGGTCGCTCTCCTCCCCCATTGGTTCCACTGCCTTGTGACAGAACTGGGGGAAGGAAAGATGAGACAGAGGGGTAATGGCAGGAAATGGGCATCATAAGTGCGATCATTTGTGATGTGCACATGATCACGCTCCTCTCCCATTGGCTCCACTGCCTTGTGACAGAACTATTGGGGGGAAGAGTAGGGAGGAGAAGGCGGCACTGGGCATGGGGGACCACCTGTCACGGCTTTTCACATAAATGGGAATATGGGACTGCGAGCATGATTGCTCCATTCCCATTTGGCTGGCAAAGTGTCATGGACCGGGGAAGAGGGAGAACAGGCAATGTGCAGAGCGGCTGTGAGAGAGCAGGGGATACTGCGGATGGAAAGGAGGAGAAGATGTGTCTGGAAGGACGGAGGACATCCTTACCTGTTTAGCTGCCTCTTTTGAACCGCCCACGCCCGCCAGAGCGTCCAGCAGGAAGGGATGGAAGAAGTCTGCTCGGTGCTGTCTGCCTTATGAGACGTATTAAAGACTGTTACCTGTTTGGCTGCCTCCTTTGGCGCGCTCATGCCGGCCACAGCATCAGGCAGGAAGGGATGGAAGAAGTCCGCCCGGTGCTGGATGTCAGCAGATGTGATGAAGCGCAGAAACATGACCGCTGGTGGAAGGGGGAGGGGAGAGGGGAGCGGGGGGAAGGAGTGGGGAGTGGGAAAGAGCAGGACTGTGGGGAGAAGAACAGAAGATGTCTGCTTAGTGTTGGATGTTGGCAGAGGCAACAAAGCGCGGAAGCATGGCCGCTGGAGTAGTAATGGAGAGGTCGCACCAATAGCTTTGCTGATTAAAATACGCAGTTAGGATAGAAGAGCAGTATTCGACCACTCACCATAGTTGGAGCAGTCTGGGTCTTGACAGCGCTTCAACAGGCCATCAACCCTGCCATTGACAAATAAATACAGCAAACATTTGTAAAAAAAAATCAGCAAACAAATCAGCAGCGGCAGCAGCAGCAGCGGCGGCGGCACTCACGTGATCTTCTCCGCTGCACTCGATGGGTCCACGGCATCTAGAAGCTCCCGATACTCCTGCTCTCATGCATGCATGCAAGCGAGACATGAATACATGATGAGGACACGGATACATGAAAAACCCGTTCAAACGACATTCTTGCAAATTCACAATAATACCCCGTTAATTGCAAGAAAAGTGAGTGACTAGCCATGAGCAACCGAGGAGACTGCAATGCAAGCAAGGTCAATTTGTCAAATGGCTGTACCCAAGGTAATTCATCCAAGTGCCTAAAGAACAACAACCACACACGAACAGCAACCACGGCATGCCACCCACTCACAGCGGCAAAGTCTTCCCACGTGAACTCGGTATACCCAAGGTCTCTCAGCCTCTGCTCACTGCGCGCCACTCGCTCCCTCACTTGCTCGCACTCCTCCTTGCTGCCGCCTTGTAACAGATGCTCCTGTAACGAATGAGATTGCTGGTTGGACGATTGGGGTCTTATGAAGCGTGGCACTCAGTCTTATTTACGTTGCAGAAACAAGTTTAACCAGGTGCACCATGGTGTGTAAGGAGTCGAGTTTTGAGTCGACTCAAAACTCGATTTTAGGAAGAAAGTTGAGCCAGGTGTACCATGGTTTCTAGATAATAAGTATATCTAGGTGGCATTTGAGTCGTCTCACAGGTGTGTGTGTATAAAGGGTCTGTTCTCACCAGGAGCGCGAAGAGGAAGCAGCGGAAGAAGCAGTTTCCATCCCCTCGTGTCCGCCTGATGGCCTCGTACTCGGATGCAAGATGCTGGAAGGGTGGGGAGGGGGGAGGGGGGGTGAAGGGCGGTGAAAGGGAGTGAAGACGGGTGAAGTGGGATGAAGGGGGTTGATCAGAGCGGAGAGGGAAGGCAGGAAAGCCCTTTTCTGTATTTTACCCGGCTCCACTGTTCCTACCCCTCTAATCCCGCCTTCCCCCTCGTTTTCAACCCATCCCCGCGTCTCTTCATCACATCCCCTCACCCGTGTGCCTCATGCCCCGTTCCTCATTCCACGCACCTCGATCTTGTCTTGGAACGCGGTGCTTCCCGCTGCGTATTCCGACGCCAATGCCGACAACGGCTCCTGCGGGGGATCACACGGGTTGAAACAGTTACGGACGAAATCTGAACCGTAACTTCACCTCGACTCTTAAAGATAATCTGTGTTCGATAATCGAAGCATATGGGGGGAGGAATGATGAGAATACACGCTAAATAGCGGAAGATCTGGCTAAACTTCGACAGGATTTAGTTGCTTCTCTCCAAAATCGTTACCACCATGGATTATCTAGTTATCATTCACCCTTGTACAGTCACGCACCTTCTACAGTAACGAACCTTCTCCCCGACGAGCGGGTACCGCTGTGCTTCCTCTTCCCGCATCGCATTCTGCTGCGCTAAGATCGCCTCGTCCGACGGCCGCTCGTCGCCTTGCGACGGCGGATCGCCGCCTTGCGACGCCATGCGACAAAATCTGTGAGAAAGTTTTTGCCTGAAGTTCCTGCCACTATTTCCCTAGCCACTTGGAATTACAGATGTGACCGTTGGGCTGGGAACCCAGTGGGTATCGGCTCCCTACCGTGCAAGACGGCCAATCTGCGGAACGAATTCCTGGAATCTGGCGACACTGCGGATGAGGCAATTTTTTCGACATTGGAGGTTCCGCCAACTGTTTCTGAATGTTTAGCCACAAATAGCGAATTTTGTTAATCTCTGTAGGCATACTGTTCTACATAGCGCTTCATTGACACTGTAGTTATAATGAGCAACAGTTTTTGAATCACTCAAAGTATCCACTTAAAAACAAAAGTTCAGCACCAAATCGACAAAGCAGGACGGATTCAGAAATGAGACAATCTTTGCAGCGCCTAAGAAATCCGGTGGAACAGGGCCCAGTCGGGTCAACGCACTCAATACACCCGGAACCTCCTGCCGCGCCATATGCCAGCCCAACCATGCCTGGCCTGCCTTTTGAGCCGACTCAAAAGTCAACAAGGTCAACCCAGTCAGTATCCATACCCTCCTGTTGACCCATATGCCTCCCCAGCCCCAGCAGCACCCCCGGCAGAGCTGGGAGGGTAAAGAGACGAGCCGATACTTCTAGCACCTCGGAAAACTGATGGGACGGGGTCGGGTCGGGTCAGGTCAACTCAGTCAGTACCCATACCCTCCTGTTGACCCATATGCCCCCCCAGCCCCAGCACCACCCCCAGCAGAGCTGGGAGGATAGAGAGACGAGCCATAGCCTGACAGGTCTGTCGGTGCCGAGCCATATGCTGGAGCTGGTGCTGCAGCAGACCCGTATGCCGAAGCTGGCGGTGCAGGTGCGGGCGCAGGTTCGGCATAGCCTGTGTGTGAATTCATGAAACCCTGCAAGGAATGAGCCGGGCGTTGGGAGAAGAGGACAAGGCAAGGCAATCAGCAAGCCACCCACCCACGACGAACCATAGTCCCCTGTCATGTACATCTGACATCAGCTGGTGCGTGATTTGATTCGATCTGATCCGATTCCTCCCACTCACCTCGATGAGCTGCTGTGCCGTCTGCACCTGGGTGGCACTGCCCCGCACCTCCACCGTCATATCCACCTGCACATCATTGCTTCCACTCTCACCTCTTCAACCACCCACTCACCAACCACCTCCCACTCCCCTCGAACACCTTCCACTCACTTCAATGAGTTGCTGGGCCGTCTGCACCTGCGTGGCACTCCCCCGCACCTCCACCGTCATCTCGGGCTGCCCTCCCTTCTCACCCCTATTCTCACCTGCTCACCCACCAACTCACCAGCAACTACTGCCAATCCACCCGTTCCTTCTCACCTCACTTAACCACTTCCCACCTTACCTCAATTAGCTGCTGTGCCGTCTGCACCTGCATTGCACTGCCCCTCACCTCCACTGTCATGGCCAGTTGCCTGCCCGCCCCCCGGCTCTCACCTGTTCACCCAAATTACCACCAACTACTGCTCACCGGGATCAACTCCCTCTCACGTCAATCAACTCCTTCTCACCTCTATGAGCTGCTGTGCCATCTTCACCTGCGTGGCACTCCCCCGCACCTCCACTGTCATCTCCGGCTGCCCTCCATTGCCACCCCTTCACTGTCACCCCTTCACCCACCCACCCACCCACCCACCCACCCACCCACCCACACATCAGGAAGTATTGCGCACCTCTATCAACTGCTGTGCCGTCTGCACCTGCGTGGCACTGCCCCGCACCTCCGCTGTCATCTCCGGCTGCCCTCCACTTTCCCTCAGCGAATCAACTCTTCCCCACGCACCTCTATCAACTGCTGTGCCGTCTGCACCTGCGTCGCACTGCCCCGCACCTCCACTGTCATCTCCGGCTGCCCGCCCGCCCCCCGGCTCTCCTGAATGGTCACTGCGGCCCCACTGGTGCGGCGCAGGAAGACGATGTTGGTGCCGTTGGGGCCGATGATGGCATCCACATATGACAGAGGGATCTGCATGGTTGCGCTGACCTGGAGTGGGGATGGGATGACAGGGGGGTATGGGTGTGGTTGTCAGAATGGGACGGTGTTGGTGTCATTGGGACCGATGATGGCGTCGAGGTGACTTTTGAGTCGACTCAAAAGTCACCTCGTTGGTGCCATTGGGACCGATGATGGCGTCGACGTAAGACAGAGGGATCTGCATGGTGGCGCTGACCTGCCAAGCACAGAGACGGAAAGCAAGTGGGATGGACGGGAGGGAGGATGGAAGGGGAAAAAGGGGGGAGGGAGAGGGGGGAGTGTCAGGATCGGGCAACATCACCGGTGGTGCGGCGCAGGAAGGCAATGTTGGTGCTGTTGGGGCCGATGATAGCGTCGACGTAGGAGAGAGGGATCTGCATGGTGGCACTCACCTGGAGGGATAAAGATGGGCGGAATGCAAGTAGGAGTGGGTGGGATGGACGGGAATGGGTGTTGGGGTGTCAGGATGTGGCAATGCTGCCGCTGGTGCGGCGCAGGAAGACAATGTTGGTGCCGTTGATGGCATCCACGTATGACAGAGGGATGTGCATTGCGGCACCCACCTGACGTGGGGGATTGAGAGACCATACGCTCACCTGACGTGGGGGATTGAGTGACCATACGCTCACCTGACGTGGGGGATTGAGTGACCATACGCTCACCTGACGTGGGGGATTGAGTGACCATACGCTCACCTGACGTGGGGGATTGAGTGACCATACGCTCACCTGACGTGGGGGATTGAGTGACCATACGCTCACCTGACGTGGGGGATTGAGTGACCATACGCTCACCTGACGTGGGGGATTGAGTGACCATACGCTCACCTGACGTGGGGGATTGAGTGACCATACGCTCACCTGACGTGGGGGATTGAGTGACCATACGCTCACCTGACGTGGGGGATTGAGTGACCATACGCTCACCTGACGTGGGGGATTGAGTGACCATACGCTCACCTGACGTGGGGGATTGAGTGACCATACGCTCACCTGACGTGGGGGATTGAGTGACCATACGCTCACCTGACGTGGGGGATTGAGAGACCATACGCTCACCTGACGTGGGGGATTGAGAGACCATACGCTCACCTGACGTGGGGGATTGAGTGCCCATACGCTCACCTGACGTGGGGGATTGAGTGACCATACGCTCACCTGACGTGGGGGATTGAGTGACCATACGCTCACCTGACGTGGGGGATTGAGTGACCATACGCTCACCTGACGTGGGGGATTGAGTGACCATACGCTCACCTGACGTGGGGGATTGAGTGACCATACGCTCACCTGACGTGGGGGATTGAGTGACCATACGCTCACCTGACGTGGGGGATTGAGTGACCATACGCTCACCTGACGTGGGGGATTGAGTGACCATACGCTCACCTGACGTGGGGGATTGAGTGACCATACGCTCACCTGCGTGACGACAGGCGAGACAGTGTTGGTCATAGCGGCAGCGGCAGCAGCAGCAGGCGTCTCTCTCCCATACTTAGACAGAGCTGCCCTCAACTGCCCGCTTGCATCCATTCCCCCTCCCCCTGGCCCCGCTGCCGCCCCCCCTGCTCCCCCCATCCCCCCTGCGCCCCCATATCCGCCTCCTGCCTGCGTCCCCGGCTGCTGCTGCTGCTGCTGCTGCTGCTGCTGGTACGGCTGTTGCTGGTATGGTGGCGGTGGCTGCTGCTGCTGCGGCGGCGGCGGTTGAGAAATCTGCTGGCTGTAGCCCAAGCCTCCTCCCGAACCTGCTCCCAGGCCTCCCATGGCTGAGCCGTACCTGCTATGGGCGGCGCAGCAGGTAAAAGACCCCCAAAGAAGGGATTAGCAGAAAGGAGGCGATGGGGAAGAGACAAGGAGCATGAGCAGATTCACTGTCGAATGAGAACTTGCACGGCAAGTAAGAAATTGTCAATATTGGACTTACTGTTAGCAAATGCTGTCAAGGTGGTGTTACGGTTACCACCACTCCCCACCCCACCCTACCATCATGACCACCCGTCAACCGCTTCATACCTGTCAGCACCCCCCATGCTTCCCAGGGAAGAGAGGGAGCCATATGGGTCAGGCGCAGCAGAGGGGGGGAGGTCGAAGCGCGAGCGATGGGGGGGAGAGTGCATTCCCCCTGGGGGCGGGTTCCCCCACCCCCCTCCGCGGCTAGAGGGGGAAGAGTAGGGCGCACCCCTGGGGTCCATGGGGGGAGGGAAGGAGCGCTGAAGCGGGGGAAGATGGGAGATGGGTGGGGTGGGGAAAAGGGGGAGAGGATTTTGTGAGCCTGAGGGGGGAGAGTGGGGCGCAGCAGGGATTGGTTGCATTGGTCGCAGAAAAGGAGAGTTGCTGAGGCAACTCATCCCGAAAGAGATGGATGGCTGCGTGCATGGGACGATGGGTGCATGGGACGATGGGTGCATGGGACGATGGGTGCATGGGACGATGGGTGCATGGGAGGATGGGTGCATGGGAGGATGGGTGCATGGGAGGATGGGTGCATGGGAGGATGGGTGCATGGGAGGATGGGTGCATGGGAGGATGGGTGCATGGGAGGATGGGTGCATGGGAGGATGGGTGCATGGGAGGATGGGTGCATGGGAGGATGGGTGCATGGGAGGATGGGTGCATGGGACGATGGGTGCATGGGAGGATGGGTGCATGGGAGGATGGGTGCATGGGAGGATGGGTGCATGGGAGGATGGAGGGACATACCCATTGCTCAAAGAGCGGCAGCACAGAATGGTCGCAGCGACAGAGTTATTTATGTGCCTCTAAAGAGAATTGGTGGATGGGTGGATGGATGGAAGGGTGCATGCAGGCACGTACGCATTGCTCAAAGAGCGGCAGCACGGAGTGGTGAGAGAGGAAGAGCGTTTGGTGGGATGTGTAGATGGGGGCATGGGTGGATGGATGGAGGGAAGGTGGCACTTACACATTGCTCAAAGAGCGGCAGCACGGAGTGGTCACAGAGGAAGCTAGTTCTGCGGTGTTTCATCTTATAAAACGGTCATGGGTGCATGTGGGAACATACGCATTGCTCAAAGAGCGGCAGCACGGAGTGGTCACAGAGGAAGCGCCTGAGATGCAGAGTGACGCCCTTCACTGCCTCGTGCACACACGCATACTCCCCCGTCACCTCCACCACCCTGTCGTCCTCCAGTGCGCATGGCGGCACGTCCTCTGTTCAGAAAGAGCGAGGAGAACCACGAGGAAAGGGAATGGGACATGATTTGACCGAATGGCGTCATGCATGCTCGCATACTTCCCCTATTTCGTCCACTCCACTCCACCACCTGATCGTCTTCCAGAAGGAAAACAAGGGGCCGAACGACAATGTTCAACCAAACAAAACCCGTGGGTTTTAAATTTCCCCACACACGCACATACCGAGAGAGAGGATCCGGATGTGCGCCCCTGTGCTGTCCTGCAGTGCTTTAATCGTCTGCCCCTGGCGCCCGATCAAACTCCCAGCCTGTGTGGCTGGCACCAGCAGGCGAATGGCCACCTGCCCACGGAACCCCTCCCCCGGCTGAGACGCCTCGATCTCGTCCTCCAACACGCACCTATGTTACCAGACAAGGAACCATGTTACCAGACAAGGAACCATGTTACCAGACAAGGAACCATGTTACCAGACAAGGAACCATGTTACCAGACAAGGAACCATGTTACCAGACAAGTACCTACAATACCAGACCTACCAGAAACGCAAACTTCAGCCAGCATACCGAGAGAGAGAATCCGGATGTGCGCCCCTGTGCTGTCCTGCAGCGCCTTGATCGTCTGCCCCTGGCGCCCAATCAAACTCCCTGCTTGGGTAGCCGGCACCAGTAACCGCGTGGCCACCTGCCCACGGAACCCCTCCCCCGGCTGAGACGCCTCGATCTCGTCCTCTGATACGCCCTCCACGATCCGACGGTGCACACGCATCATCGCCACCACGGCTGGGGGAAGCTCTGAGTCTGGGTCCTCCCTGCCTGACACCAGCACCTGAGGAGTAGTAGGGATGGGGGGGAAGAATGACGGAGATTGGGGAGAGGCTGGTGAATGTTGGACATTGGGTAAGGGGAAAGGAGTGGCGGTTCCTCCCTCCTCCCACCCTGAAACCAGCACCTGGGGAGGTAGGTAGGTACAGAGCGATGTGAGTGAGGCACGGGGGAATGAGGTGGAGTGACGTGACGGCGATGAGAGAGAGAGGGGAGAGGGTCGACTCGTCCAAGCTGCTGCCGCCGTTATGCTCAACGCAATGCCCAAGTCCGTCCAATGCCCCTGATGCAATGCCTAGCACGAGCAAACACTGCGCCCGTCAAGCCATGAAGCCATACAGCATTCCAGCCCCTAGACCAGACTCCTACAACCGACCGGCTTACCACGCGGTCGTCATGGCCCGGAGCGCCCTCCACGATCTTAACGTGCCATGCCCTTCAAGGCCCAACCCAAGCCCAGACTCCTACAACCAGCTTACCCCAAGCACGGACGGGCTATAAGAATCTTACCACGCGGTCGTCATGGCCCGGAGCGCCCTCCACGATCTTAACGCGCGCCTTGGTCTCGTCACAGATCTTCTTCACATACTCGCCGCGCCGCCCTATGATGCTCCCCACCTTCCCCATCGGCACCACGAAGCGGAACACGTTATCCCCTGGCCATCCCGGCCAACGCTTCTGCTCCCCGCTCCCCCCGCCCCTCTCTCCGCCTGGACCACCTCCGCGCTCCCCGCGCTCCCCCCGCTCCCCACCCCGCGCGGAGTCGCCCGGTTCCCCGCCGTACATCTCCCCCGCGGAGCGCTTCTGCCTGTGTTCTCCGTGCTCCCCGCGCGTATCCCCGCGCATGTCTCCCCCGTCCCCGCCGACACCAAGCGCGCCGAGCCCCGTAGAACGCGGCCCAGAATCCGGCGGGTACCCTCCGCCGGAGGGGTAACCCTCATTGGACGGTGGGGGATAGGGGGGAAGCGCGGGGGTTGGTCCGCCATGGGGGGGAGGCCCGCTGGGGGGGCCTCCGCCAGCCGGTGCGCCAGTTGCGCCGATGGTAGGTTGGCCCATAGAGAAACTAATGTTGGGAAGAACCATCTTAATTCCCGCGTCGTCGGGAGCAGCGTCAGCGCCGGAAGCGGCGGATCCGTCGGGTGCTGTACCGTTAGTGGGGGGAAGCGGGGGACCCTGACCTTGAGCTTGATTGTCCATGGCGTCGGTAATGTGTGCGAGGAAGAGATTATAGAATGGGAGCGCAGCGCCTTAGCATATAAAGGAAACGTTCTACTACTGACCGTTATGTGACTCAGTGCGGAAAATGTCAGTTTCGGGGAGAAATAAGTTCCTCACCACAAGACAGCCCTTAGAACCGTTACTGGAGCTTTATAGATTGGCTGATTCGTACAGATCATACAATTTTCAAATTTTGCAATGGTGTTTGGAATTTCAAATTTAATGCGAAACAATTTAACATGTGTGATAAATAGGCTGGAGAAATCAGCATGACCCAAAACCAATTTGTGTCAGGAAATCCAACAGAGGGTTTGAAACTCAATGATGTAAAACATTATTTACATTTATATACAACATTATTTACAAGTATAGGCATACACCATTACATGTATTCACATATGGTATCATTGTTCCCAAACATAGCCTACCATGTGTCACCGACCCCTCACAATCACACCAGCACGAAGCAAGTTCTCCCGCGCCCTTCCCGAAACCTTCCCCACTTCCACCTCCATGTACCGCAATTCCCCACTTCCACCTCCATGTACCGCAATTTAGGGAAGCTTCCAAGGACCCCTCCAATCCCTGCCGCTGTAATCTTTTCACACATGATAGCCTTCAAATTCTTCAGCGTTCCAAGTCTGCTTCCCGCCACCACTACATTTGAAAAGGTGCCATTTTGTTCCACCGTTAGTTCCTCCAACCTGACACAAACAGCAAGTAGTTGGAGCCACTCCTCTTCCTCCAACCCCGAGCAGCACAGCAGGACAAGCCGCTTCAGCTGTCCAAAAACAGCAACTCAAGCAATGGACTGAAAAGACATTGGCTGGGTGCTTGAGCTTGGGGCAGAAGAGGGGGAGAGGAAGCAGGAAGAGGAAGATGAGTGGCAAGGAGGAGGTGGGGAGGAGAGATACATGCGAGGAGACATAGAGGGAAGGGTTGGAGGCAGCCATGAGGTGTGGGGAGTGGTAGAGAAAGAAAGCCCTTCAAGGGTTAAGGAATACAGGCGAGGGCAGAATACTTGCACAGGGACTGCTGACTGACACCATTCATTATGTTCGCCTGATGCCTTTCGGCTGCTTAGTTGTACATCATTTGGTGCCGCCTCTCTCGGTGCCACCTCCCCAGGTGCCACCTCCCCTGGTGCCAACGCCTCTGGCCCTTTGTCTTCGTGTGTGCTTTCCACCCGTTGTGGGCCAAGATTTCCCTTCTCACTCCATGCCCTGCTGTTCTTCCTTCTCCTGTTGCGGCTGCCACATGCGCTGCTGCTGCTTCATCCCCTCCAGCTGCTGCTGCTGCTGCTGCTGCTGCTGGAGCTGCTGATACTGCTGCTTCTGCTGTAGTTGCTGCTGCTGCTACTACTTCTGCAACTGCTGCTGCTGCTGCTGCTGCTGCTGCTTCTGATGCTGCGGCGGCTGCTGCTGCTGCTGCTGCTGCTGCTAAGGTTGCTACTAACCGAGCTCTTCCTCCTCTTCGTGCCACTACTGTTGCTCCAGCAACTCTTGTTATCGTCGCTGCTGCTCCAACTCCTCCTGCTGCTACCGCACCTGTCATTAGTCGCAAGAGGGTGGCTCTCAGAGTAGTGCCGGGTTGGTGCAAGGAACGAGAGATATCATGCACGGCTAAACCTTGTTGCCGCAGCTCGCCCGCCAGTGCCCGCAGCATGCGCACTACATCTTCACGTGCCTCCACCGCACCGGACCGCACTCGACCCAGCACACTCTCAGGCGAGAAATCATTAAACAGAATGACATCCATGCCCCTAATACTATCCCCGTCCTCCTCCCCATCCATGTCCTCTTCTCCAGAACTTAGCTCTGTAGAAAAGAACCCTGTGGCCTGCCCAGCAGTGGTTGTTCTTCTGGATTCACTGGCAGCAGCTGTCTTGGACCCAGCAGAAGCAGCAGCAGAAGCAGCAGAAGAAGCAGCAGCAGCAGCAGCAGCAGGATCAGCAGAAGCAGCAACGAACGCCCTCATCAGCTTCTCCTCCCACTCAACAGCCGCATTGGACTCACGAACCGCCCTGCGAAATGACCGGCACGCCAAAATCCCGAACCTGATCTTCCCGAAGATGACAGCGATGTGAGACTCGAAGCTCTCTCCCTCTACACGCGCCGCCGCCGAGAGGGCTGCAGGACAGGCGGCCTTTGTAGCTTCGTTGGCTGCTTTGAAAAGGAAGATTAAGCCGTTCGCTGCCGCAAGCTTGTCTGCATCAGCCGCTGCTGCTTCTGTGCAAAAATCTACGTATCTCCAGCAATAGTTGTTGCTCCCGCTACCCGTTCCTGCTGTCATTGCTACCCGCGCTATTCCTGCAGCAGCTGCTGCTGCGGCTGCAAAAACACCTGTATTTCCCTCCACACATCCTTCTTCTCCACCCCCTCCTCCAGCCTCCCCTCTTGCCCGCCTTCCCGCACACCCCACTTGCTCCACCCGCACCAGCATACTCACAAGGCCGTCCAGAGACACTCCCCTCGGCAATCGCATTTTAAGACAATCGACAGCCCCGACCACACTCAGTGAGCGCAGGGCACTGCAGTCTGCAAGCAAGCCCGGGCGGAGAGATGGGAGGCCGGCGAGGCGGAGGGAGTGGAGCTGGGAGGAGCAGCGAGCGAGCAGGGAGCGGAATCCCTGTGCGGCGAACAGACGGTAATTCGTTCCGTGCAGGGAGAGGGAGGAGAGAGCTGGGTTGGCTTGGAGGACGGGGATGAGAGAGTGGGAGGAGACGAACGCACAGGAGTGGATTGTTATGTGAGTGAGTCTGTAGAGGGAACGTGAGAGGGAGGAGCTCATAACGGTCGATAGAGCAGGAGTGGAGGGAGAGGGAGGAGAGGGAGGGAAAGAAGGTTAGGGGTGCGAAGGAGCATGACAACTGGGCGGAGTAAATGGTGAGGGACGTGAGAGACGTGTGGAGAGAGGATGGGGGAGGAAGCAACGGAGGAGGAGGAAGCACAGGAGGAGGGGGAGAAGGCTAGGGAGGAGAGGGAGGAGGATTCAGGGCCCCAGAGGGTGAGGGAGGTGAGGGAGGAGGATTCAGGGCCCCAGAGGGTGAGGGAGGTGAGGGAGGAGCAGCGGGGAATGGAGAGGTAGTCTGAGGGAACGTAGAGGAGAGAGAGGGACTGCAGTGAGGGGAGGAGGTGCACGGGGGGAAGAGGCGGCTGCTGTGTGTGAGGGGAACATGAGCGCGCAGAAGGGGAGTTTAGCTCCAATGAAGCCAAGAGCCTGCATGCAGAGGGAAGGGGCGAGAGGGGAGGGGAGGGGAGGGGAGGGGAGGGGAGGCAGGAGAGAGAAGGAGATTGCAGCGCGAGGAGGTAGTGCACGGGGGGAGAGGGAGCTGAGATACTTTGGGTAACGGACGAACGCACGCAGCGCAAGATTAGCTTTATCAACGTCACGAGCCTGCACGAGGGAGGGGCGAGTGGGGAGGGGAGCGGGGCGAAGAGGAAGGGGTGAGGAGGGAGAAAAGGAGGATGCGAGAGGCATGTGGTCGAGGTCTGCGAGGAGAGGCCGCCGAAACATGCAAGATAGAAGGGCGGAGGGCGGAGGGGGTGGGGAAGGGGAATGGGGAAAAGGGTGGGGGAGAGAGAGGGAGGTGGGGGAGGGGCTTGGGGGAGGGGCTTGGGGGGAGGGGGGGAGGGCATTGTAGGGACACCTCGCGGAGTGTGAAGGCTCGTCGAACAGATTTGTTATTGAGGAACGGATGGACGGACGGAGGGGCGGAGGGACGGACGGAGGGACGGACGGAGGGACAGACGGAGGGAGGGACGGAGGGAGGGACGGAGGGAGGGACGGAGGGAGGGACGGAGGGAGGGACGGAGGGAGGGACGGACGGACGGAGGAACGGACGGACGGAGGGACGGACGGAGGGACGGACGGACGGAGGGACGGACGGAGGGACGGACGGAGGGACGGATGGTGACGATGCTGGATTGGGCAAAAGGTTCCGAGGGAGAGAAGATGAATGGAACCTTCGACTCACGGGCATCGGATCGCGAGATTTCGCCACGCTGGACCGTTGACGTCGAAGCTATCCCAAGCCGACACCTCCAGCTTCAGTTTTTCCAGTTTCGGGCAACCCTCTGCGATCCCCGCAATCAGCTGGTCCCCGAGAACACTGGTGATCTCCACGGTCAGATCCGTCACGTGGGTAAATACCCCTGAGAAATCCTCGAACTTTTTCAGCCATTCTTGCGGATTCGCAGCCCTTGATCTGGAGTTGAACACTAGTCGGAGCGCATGTGGCGTGCGCCGCGAGAGGTGGCGGAGGCGGGAGCAGGAGAGGGCGACGTTGCGGCGATCGGATGGGTGATCTGCGAGGCCGAGAATGATTTGGAGGAGCTCGTCGGGGAGAGATAGCAGCCTGTTATCCTCGGCGCCTCCTCTGTCTTCCGCCATCGCGAGCTTACCGAGGAAAAGTGAGTCTGGAAGTTTCCAGAAGCCACAGCTGGACAAGAGAAACGGGAGATAATGCCAACATGAGGAGCAGAAGCAAGAGGACAATATCTGCTAGAATGAAAATCGTCGGGAAGACGCCTGGCCAGATTTTGCTGAGATCAGACGCTTCGAAGGGGAAACGGGTTCATACCCAGCAGCTCGGGCTGACCGAGGCTTTTGGGAAGCCGTCCGTCCTTGGCCTGGCCCTTGAGGGAAATCGAGGCACAAACAATGGGATAGCGCGCATGAGACTGAAGCTGCTATGCGGTTCCGAAATAGCCGCTACGAAGCCGCTAGTGGGACAAGCTTCTCCAAGCGTTTGAGGCTCTTCAGAAAAAAAGCGCCGTCACGTACCCGTGCTAGCTTGCGGACACGCAAGGAAGTGTGTGAAGGTTACGAATCAGACAAGGGACGGATCGAACGACGACAATTTCTGTCAAACGAACAACCTTCTAGGGAGGACGACGATTTGCCAACTCAGGAGTCTTCTCCTTCTTGTCCGACTGGCTGATAGGAGATGATGTTGCTTGATCCTTCGTGGTTGGGTCCTGGAGGTACGGTACAAACCGTACCCGACCGATCTGGGCCTCCTGAACGAGCGGAAGCGAAGCTGCACGACAGCCATGACGGAATCAACGCGGGGTGACAAATGGTTGTCTCCACGTCGACCATCACAGCTCGCGTGCGCTGGAATGGCCTTGCCTGACGCACTCGCTCTCCCCCTCCACAAACACACGGAAACACGTTAGTGGCTGCATGTATGGGGAAGGAGCTCTCGAGGTTGTCTCTGGGACGAAGTTCCCAAGGCTATTGCTAAAGTAGTACTTGGCTTTGGACTCATGAAAGGAGGGGCTTAGGGGAGGGAGGGGAGCGCGGCTGTTGCTTAGGGAGGCAGGGTGTAATGAATTTCGCTAATTCCTTACTGAGGCACCTCTTACACGTACAATTCCAATTTTCGGAATTCAGGCTCGGTCCGTCGACCTCGCCTCCCGAACGTCTCCCGCGTCGCCTTCGGGTTTCCCAACCCCAAACCTACACCCAACCTTCGCGCGACTCCGCGGCCTCGGCTTAGCTAGCTTTGCTATATTATGCATAGACCTCGTTGTTTGCTCAGTAGTTGTAATCACTTCCGCGATATTGCATTCTGCGCATGAGAAAACTGAAACGAGAATGAATGAACAATGAATGAAGTGAGTACAAATATGAAACCCTAATTGGGTTGTACCCCCAATGGGATACCCCACTATCGCCTACACAACAGCATAAGCTATAACGTTCTGACACACCCCCATAGGCAAAGTGGGGGAGAACAAGGGGTCACAAGACCAGTCAAGCAAAGCAAAGCAAAGCTCAGGGTGGATCACTAAGTCACCACACATTCCGAGCACAAGGTCAAGGCCACAAGGCCAGTTCACATGCAAGAGTACACACACATATATATATATACATATATATAAGAGGCTAAGCAAGCAAGAGCAGGAGTATATATATGTGACAGTACAAGCAAGGTCAAGAAGTGAGCAAGTGAGGCAAGACAGGCACAAGACCCAGTTGAGTGCAGAAGCGCTGATGATCACAAGGCGCAAGCGCCTTGGTGAAGACATCAGCAGTGTTGGCCTCAGAGGCCACGTACGCAAGTCGCAACTGTTCACGCTGCTGCAGCTCACGAGCAAGGAAGTAGCGAAGAGCTATGTGCTTTGTCCTGTGCTCCAGTCGCTGCTCTCGACACAAGGCTAGCATGGCCTTGTTGTCTACGTACAGGACTGGAGGAGAACGAGGCGGCTCTCCAAGGTCGGTCAGCAGGTAGGTGAGCCAGCGAAGCTCCTGGGCAGCCATAGCCCCGGCGTAGATCTCAGCCTCACAACTGGAGCCGAGAACAGAAGACGAGCGGGTAGCCCGCCACGAAACAGAGCCGGAACCAAGACTGAATGTGTAACCCTGTGACGACCGCTGCGTGGCCTAGTCGTCAGCCCAAGAGGCGTCCGCGTGCCCAGTGAGGACCACTGGACTCCGCCCTCCAAGCACTAGCCCCATGCCCGACGTACTGCACAAGTAGCGCAACACCCTCTTCGCTGCAGCCATGTGCTCTGGTCGGTGTCTCCCAGGAGCAACATAGCGTGCAAGAATGCTAAGAGGGTATGCAAGGTCAGGTCGTGTGCAAGTCATCAGGTACATGAGGCAGCCAACAAGCTCTGGATACGGGCCACTCGACTCTACGGACTCATCCGAAGGCAGAGCTGAGAGCGAGTGGCGAGTAGGCAGAGGAGTGGCCTGAGGCGAGGAGTACGTGAAGCTGAAGCGCTGAAGGACCTGCTGCACCATGTGTGACTGACTCAGGGTGATGGTGCGGCGTGCTCTGTCCCGGTTGATCTGCAAGCCAAGGTAGCTGCGCAGTTCACCCAGGTCAGTGCACGTGTGTCTCTTCTGCAGCTTGGACTTCACGTAGGCGAGTCCAGTAGTGTCAGCTGTGGCAAAGACCACGTCGTCGACGTACACGAGGATGTAGAACGGCGGCAGAGAGGTGTCGGTGAGCAGAAACAGCGACGGGTCGGCAGTAGAAGGAGCAAACCCAAGAGCCGCCAGTGTAGTCCTCAGTGTGTCGTGCCACTCACGTGGCGCGTGGCGGAGACCGTAGACTGGACGCCGGAGACCCCACTGGGTACCAGGAGGGAAAGACCCAGTGAAGCCAGGTGGGCGACGCAGCCAGATCTCCTCGTGCAAGCTGCCCTGCAAGAAAGCAGTGTTGAAGTCGAGAGAGTGCAGCTCGTAGTCACGGTGAGCAGCAACGTGCAGCAGTACCCGAAGAGTGGTCATCTTCGGGGTGGGGGAGAAGGTCTGAAAGTAGTCAACTCCCTGCCGCTGACTGAAGCCACGAGCCACGTAACGCGCCTTGTAGACAGGCGGAGAACCCGGCGGCCGCTTTACCTTGAAGATCCACATGCCACTGACGATGTTCGCCCCAAGAGTGGGGACAGCGTCAACGTAGGTGCCTATGGACTTCCAGGAAGCCATCTCTGCATCCAAAGCTGCCTGCCACTGAGAGGAGTAGGGACCCTCTATCGCCTCCGCGTAAGAGCGCGGAGTCGGGATGTCAAGTGCATCCGGGTCTCCCTCAGGGGTAAGCAGTACGGACACGAGATGAGGTGAAGCGGCTGCCAGACACTGGAACTCCTCCTGCCTGTCCTCAAGGACGTCCGTGCCAAGGGCACACTCACCCCCGACGGACGGAGGACAGACAGACTCAGACTCAGCGACAAGACTAGCAGCGTAGTCTAGGCGACAGCGAGCAACAAAGTCGACGAGCTCAGTAACGAGGGCAGACGCAGCAGAAGACTCGAAAGACGGGTCACTGACGACGGTAGCAAGGAGACGCGTGACAGTAGGACTGGCAGCACGAAGAGAGTCCGACTCAGGGTCGGCAAGAGCAGGAAGAGAGGACTCAGGAGGAGAAGGCAAAGGGGCACGCAGAGGAGCAGTAGACGGACGCAGAGACATCCGGTGCGTGCCAGGGACAGGAGGAGGACGCTGACGCGAACCGCGACCACTAGCGCGCGCAGTACGCACAGGCGACGCAGGACGAGACGCAGGCTCACGACGCTCAGTAAGACCTCCAGTAGGACCAGCGTAGGGAGAAGGAGCAGGTAAGGGGGGGGCAGGCTGTAGCTGTGACTATGACTGGACAGGCTGTGGACCCTCTAAGGGAGGAGGAGGACCAGTAGAAGGTGGAAGACCAAGAACCTGCTGCAGGAGTGGAACAAAGTACGGTCGAGGCCGCGCGGCGGCGCCTGACACAGCAGGGACAGCACGAGTACCCCCAGCAGGAGTACCCGCTCCAGCAGCACCTCCAGCAGCTCCAGAACCTCCAGCAGCACCAGGAGCACCCCCAGCAGAACCGCCAGTGGTAGTCTCAGCGCCAACACCCTCAGCAGAACCAGCTCCAGTCGAACCTGCAGGCCCAGCACCTCCAGTACTCCCAGTACGAGCACCTCCGGGACCCGCGACAGCAGCACCCTCAGCAGCCGAAGAACCTCGAGCACCAGCAGCACGGCTCCAGCGCCGGGCAAACCACTCGCGCAGCTCCTGTGGGGAGAGTGGCTCTCGGCGAGACGAAGCACCCGGAGAACCTCCAGGCGGAGTACCTCCAGGCTCAGCACCCCCAGGCAAAGCACCTCCAGGCGTAGCACCCTCAGTCCCAGCACCTCCAGTCTCAGCACCCCCAGGCTCAGCACCCCCGGTCTCAGCACCCCCAGGCTCAGCACCCCCAGTCTCAGTACCCCTAGGCTCAGCACCCTCAGCAGCACCATAGTCACCAGTGACTTCGACAGGCTCGACCGCGTCTACCTGGGACACACCTGAAGGGGCAGGACCCTGAGGGGGGAGGGGGTCTACCGGGGGGGGACCTGGTACCAAGAAGAGCGGGGGCGGGGGGAGGGACGGAGTGCGGTAGGGGAAGAGGCGATAGTAGGGGACCGACTCGTCGAACGTGACGTCGTGGGAGGACAGAACACGGCGAGAGGTGAGGTGGTAGAACTGCCACCCAGGGGCGTCGGG